AAAAAAAAAAAAAAAACCAGAAACCTACTGATCAAATGGAAAACAGAAAAAAGCAGCCGCTGCTATCTTAATTTTAGACAAATCAGAGTTTAACACAACAATGATCAAAAAAGACAAAGAAGGGCATTGCATAATGGTAAAGAGTTCAATTCAACAGGACCTAACTATCCTAAATATGTATGCAGTCACCACAAGAGTACCCAGATTCCTAAAGTAAGTTCTTAGAGACCTCCAAAGAGACTTAAATAATTACAGTATAGTGGGAGACTTCAACAACCCACTAAAAGGGTTGGATAATCAAGGCAGAAAACCAACAAACATATCGGGACCTGAACTTGACACCTTTCCAAATGGTTCTATATAGATATCTTCAGAATTCTTTACCAAAGAAAAGGAGAACTTATATTCTTACCACCTGCAGATGGCACATACTCTAAAATTAACCATAAAATGAGCCATAAAAATTATCAGCAAAACAAAACAAACAACAAAAAGAAACAGAAATCATACCAGCCACAATCTCAGATTACAGTGCAATAAAAATAGAAATCAACATAATGAAAATCTCTCAAAACCATACAATTACATAGAAATTAAATAATCACTCCTAAATGACTTTTAAGTAAAAAATAAAATTAAAGTAGATGAAAAAAAAATTCTTTGAAACTAATGAGAACAAAGATATAACCTAACAAAATCTCTAGGATACAGATAACATAGTGTTATGAGGAAGGTTTATGATGCTAAACACCAACATTGAACCACCAGGCCTTCCATACAAGAGCTCTTAAAGGAAGCACTAAATACAGAAAGGAAAAACTGGTACCAGCTACTGCAAAAACATACTAAATTGCAAAGACCATAGACGCTATGAAGAAACCGCATCAACTAATGGGCAAAATAACCAGCTAGCATCATAATAACAGGTCAAATTTACACATAATATTAACCTTAAATGTAAATGGGCTAAATGCCCCAATTAAAAGACACAGATTGGCAAATTGGAGAAAATGGAGTCCAGAACCATTGGTGTGTTATATTCAGGAGACCCATCTCACATGCAAAGACACACATAGGCTCAAAATAAAGGGATAGAGGAATACTTACCAAGCAAAAAAAAAAAAAAAAAAGCAAGAGTTGCAATCCTAGTCTCTGATAAAATGGACTTTAAACAACAAAGATCAAAAGAGACAAAGAAGGGCATCACATAATGGTAAACGGATCAGTGCATCAAGAAGAGCTAACGATCCTAAATATATACACACCCAATACAGGAGCACCCAGATACATAAAGCAAGTTCTTAATGATCTACAGAGAGACTTAGACTCCTGCACAATAATAGTGGGAGACTTTAACACTTCACTGATAATATTGGACAGATCAACGAGACAGAAAGTCAACAAGGATATCTAGGACTTGAATTCAGATCTGGACCAAGTGGACCTAATAGACATCTACAGAACTCTCCACCCCAAATCCACAGAATATACGTTCTTCTCAGCACCACATCGCACTTACTCTAAAATTGACCACATAATTGGAAGTAAATCACTCCTCAGCAAATGCAAAAGAATGGAAATCTTAACAGTCTCTCGGACCACAGCACAATCAACTACACTGTGTAAATCCAGCCAAAACTAACTACATTGTGTAAATCTAGCCAAAACTAACTACACTGTGTAAATCCAGTACATTCCTGATAGGAAAAAAAGAAAAGAGGCCCGGTGTGGTGGATCATACTTGTAATGCCAACACTTTGGGAAGCCAAGGTGGGCAGATTGCTTGAGCCCAGTAGTTAGAGACCAGCCTGAGCAACATAGGGAGATCCAGTTTCTACAAAAGACAAAAAAAAAAAAAAAATAATAATTAGCCCTGTGTGGTGGCACATGCCCTGGTAGCCAGAGTAGTCTCAGCTACTAGAAAGGCTAAGGTAGGATTGCTTGAGCTGGGGAGGTCCAAGCTTCAGTGAGCTGTGATGGCACCATTGCCCTTCATTTTCGGTGACAGAGCAAGACTCTTGTCTCAAAAAAGAATGTTAAACAACTTGGAAGAAGAATAAAAAGCAGATGTAATGGCTCAATGACATTTTCATGTCTTATGTTTGTTTGATGTTAACTGGGTAAATTCACTGGGCAGGGTCATTTTATAAAATGATTAGAATGCTGCCAGTGTGCAGTGAATGTTAAATAATAGCTGTAATGATTAGAGAACATTGCTACTGAGCCATCATCTCGGCTTTCTGGGTTTACACAGTGTAATTTTTGCTGGTTCAAGTGGCTGGCATTTTAGCACACAATAAAACAGAAAATCAGTCCATAGTGGTAGCCTTTACAAATAATCATGAGTATATATTGTTGCTTTGTGTAATCAACTGCATAATGTTTTTTAAAAATTACTTCGTTTACTTGATAAACTGAAATGGCTATAGGGCTTCATTCCAGCCTAGTAGATACATAACATGCATTTATAAATGTGTAATGAGGCAGCTCTTAAAGCCAAATTTGCTAGGGCTATATTGCAGGTTCAGCATCACATCATAAGTATTAAAGCATTTTCCTGCTATGCTTTTTTTTTTTTATCGGTGAGGTTACTAAGTGGAACAGTTTGATATTCAAACATGGTCTCTATATGAAAATATGTAATGAGAAACTGACTTCCAGCTGGTCTTTCTTATTAATAGGATGAAAATCTTTTATAACTACAGCTATTTTCATTTTCTTAATATATTAAGAAATGCATATTTTTTAATATATTAAACAGCTTAATATTGAAAACATCTTAATAACTGGCTTAAAATCTTAATAATTTAGGCTATAGTTTTCAAAACAATTAGATAAAACACACATTGTTATCCACTTTTCAGGTCAGTGGTTCATTACAAAGGATGTTTAAATGAATCTGGGTTTGAAAAAATGTGCTTTTATTAACAAAATGTTTCTGATGAGAGTTTTACAAGTTGATTAGTTCCTATTACTCATAGATTATGTTCACAAGGGTTGGTATACTTCCATCTATGTTAATTTTACTCCAAAGCATGGTATTTCCTCAAACTAAGAAGCTTGGCTTTTTAATCCTTGTGTACTATGCCCAGCCAAAGTTGCCACTTTTCAACTATTAAAAACTTAATCAGATGTTTATCTCCATTAAAAAGTAATATGTGCATACTGTTGTCTCTAGATTATTAGTCGTGGACATTTATTGTTTTCCTGTTTAAGGACATAAAATCTTTAGCTCATTTATGTCATTCCTTTCTGTCACTCTTCTATGTAATTGTACCTTAATTTTTGATTACAGAGGGTCACATGAGGCCAAGAGTTCAAGACCAGCCTGGGTAATACAGTAAGACCTCCTCATCTCAAAACAACCCAGTGTGGTGGTCCAGCATGGGTGACAGAGACCCGTCTCTAAAATAAATAAATAAATAAATAAATAAATATTCTGTGTCTGCATCTTTTGGCTATGTAAATTTCTATCAATGCTGAACCAAGTGTTAAACTACACTTTTATTTTCTATCTTGTTCATTTTTCCTTTTTTTAAGTTGATAATTGCTTAATTTTTATTTATTAGATTTTTTTTGAATTTGGCTAGACTTTTTCCGTACTTCCAAAATCTTTATAAAATATGTCTCAATGTAATTTTTATTAGTCCTAAACTTTAAGATAATTTATTAGTTCCATTTTCTTTTTTGGAAACATTAACACTGGACACATCTGACCTTCTGCTAGTCTGAATTGATTGCATTCTCTGCCTTGATGTTTGCTATTGTCTTGGAAATTTCCTTTGTCATCATTCTTAGAATTCCCTTTATTTTCCTTTTTTCTTCTCTCTGAAACTAGACAGAGGAAAGAGAGAAGACTTTCACTGCGCAGCATGAACTCTCTTCACCATCTTCGTCTATGCCTGGTGACCTTCAAACTGGTAAAAATAATCCTTTTTACCTTGCTTAAAGCATGTAGCACAGGGGCTTGTGTAAGTGAGTATTCAGTAAATATTGGTTGCATTGAATGACACAAGCCCCTTTGATGAGGTGCTTGTTTTTAATGGAGAAAACTGAGACTAAAAGTGTATAGGATGTGATAATAAGGTCATATTCACTGGCCGGTCAGGATTAATTATTCTTTCTTTCATGTTTGAGTGTAGGGTCGAAACTATTAAAAGTCTGCTAGCTATAATGTTTACAAATATAAGTAACATACAAATCTTCAAAGGTTTATTCAAGCCTACAATCTGTAAATCCCTATGTTAGAAAACAACTCTGCAATGAAAGCCACTTAGATCCCCATGACCGATAATTAGGGAGCCAATCAAGTATTATTTGCAGCTAAAATATTAGACAACAATGGAAACAAGAAATTATAGTGCAATGAATAAATGCAAAAGTACTTATAAATTCAGACTGCTTGAGTCAGTCATCCTTTGCCTGGTGAGTCCACTCAGGTTGAGCTGAAGCTAAAAACTCGTTGAATCTGAGAATTATGTTTGCCTCTACTGGAGAAATGCTTAGCTGCTGTTATGGTCATGCTTTTCTTTGATTAGCAATCAAGAAAAATTAGTTTTATGGCATCAAAAAAAAAATAGGGGTCGTTACAGTCCAAATAAAAGTTGCTAGTATTTCCTGCCTTTGCTGCTTGTCTAATTACCCTTGATTCTGGGTGTCCAACTTTCCTCATGTGCTACAAAGGGAGTGCCTGAGCCTGGAAATAAGTTAGTTCTACTGTTCTGTGTTTGGTGCTGGTGGATACCAAAACCAAAATCAGACATACTTCCTCAATGAATTTATATAACATGTTGCAAAGGAAGACAGAATAAGCCTTTAAAACAGTGGTCCCCAACCTTTTTTGGCACCAGAGACTGGTTTTCTGGAGGACAATTTTTCCAGAGACTTGGGTGGGGGAATAGTTTTGGGATGAAACTATTTCACTTCAGATCATCAGGCTTTAGATTCTCATAAGGAGCACACAACTTAGATCCCTCCCATACACAGCTTGCAATAGGGTTCGTGCTCCTATGAAAATCTAATGCTGCCACTAATCTGACAGGAGGTGGAACTCAGCTTCTCTCACTTGCCTACTGCTTACTTCCTGCTGGGCAATCTGGTTCCTAACAGGCCATGGACTGGTACCCGTCCGTGACCTGCGGATTGGGAACCACTGTTTTATAGGATATATTCTATAATGGATGCTATTTTTCTGGTTCACCATTGTAGATGCCAAAATTTGAATAAAATTGTTGAATGGAATCTATTCATTTGACAACTTGTTGTGATTCTCAAGAGCTTTATTTTATCTTAGTACTTAATGATAATATTAATAAAAATAATTCTAGCAAAAACAATACATTATAATTTAAAAGCATATGTGAACATTACTATTATAAACTATAGAATATAGTCAGCATTACTATTATAAACTATAGAATAAACTACTGAGTTTATTATACAGTAAATGAATTATTGTTAGTATTGCTTTATCATATATAACATATTTAGTATATATTTATGTACAATAAATATATATAACTATGTGACATATATATTTGTTATATAATATATGTAACTAGAAACATTTTTTAAAAGTCTTTCTCTGTCCTCCAGGGAGAGTAGATCTTTAGTGCTGTTGAGAGAAGCATTGGTTAACTATTCTAGTTATCTTTTCTTCATAACAACCCGCTCGAAATTTAGTGACTTAAAACAACAACGATCATTTATTTAGCTCATAAATCTGCAATTTAATGGAGAGGGCTCAGTGGGGGCAGCTCATTTCTGCATTATGCAGCATCAGATGGGGTGGTATGGGTAACTCAATGGCAGGAGACTGGAATCATTTGAAGACTCACTCACATATCTGATGGTTAATACTAGCTGTTGCATGGGACTTCAGCTGGGGTTCTTGGTCAGATGGATCACTTACATATGGCCTCTACATGCAGCTGTTTTTCTTCTTCACAACATGGTGGCTGAGTTAAAAGAGAGAGCATACCAAGAAAACAAGGTAGAAGTGCATATCATTTCTATGATCTGGCCTTGGGAGTCATTTAGCATCACTCTTACCATACTCTATTGATTGAACTAGTCACAATTGTCCAATAAAACTAAAAAGAAGAGCTATTAATTGATGAGATGAGTGTCACTGTCATTCTGTAATAAAATTTGTATTATAATGTTTTGTGTAAAAGTCTAAAGATGAGGATCAGTGCTTATGATTTGGGGACCATTAGCATACTAATGATAGTTAAAACCCTGAGATAAAGTGAGATTACTTAGGAAGAATATATCAAGAAAAAGATGTGAACCAAGAATGAACAGCACTTAAGAGGGAGCTTGTGGTATGAGATTTATTGTGGTGGTCACCTTTGGAAAATATTATCAGCCCATTGTGGATAGAAATGGAAAAAAACCCAAAGAGCTAAATTTATCTTTGCTATAGATTGAACAGTCAGAGAGAAAACTCTGGAGGTAGAAATAACTGAAATTGGCACAGAGGGAAAAAAGGGAAAGACAGGCTGGCTTCTGTGAAAAGAGAAATTCTGTGAAAAGATCTGAAGTCTTCAAAGGAAATTTGGAAAAAATTTTGCTCTTTTGTTTCACAAAAGCCTGCAAATTTAGAAATGCATCTTGGAATCAGATATTTGTTTTCTGGAATTGCAAAGACAGCTTCTAATTGGCTTAGAGGAAGCCACAGTGGCAGAGCAAGAGTGGTCCAAGGACAATCAGTCACTTTTAAGATATATATAAATATATGGAAAGCATACCTATGTGTCCAAATACTGTGTACTGTAGTTCTGCTGATAACTTGTAAATACAAGTCATAAATTAGGTTTAGTTCAACTGATATTTAGTAAGTACTTAGAATGTTTTAGGCAATGCTAGTTATCAGGGCTGAAAAGATAAATAAAGCATGATTTCTGCTCTAGATCTAGTAAGATGGTCAGGTTTATAAATTTAAAATTTCAGTTAAAATTCTTGATATTAAGAGTTTGGATTGTGGAATCAAAATGTCTAACTCTGGGCAAGTTACTTATCTCTCCAAGCCTCAGATTCATCATTTGTAAAATAGGAACATAACAGTTCCTAACTCAGAGAGCTGTTGGGAGGATTAAATGAGATAATGTAGGTAAAATATTTAGCATAGTGCCTGGCATATGGAAAGTGCTCACAAAAATGAATGGGTATTGTTGAATGATGTAACCAAAATGTGAAGTGTACGCAATTTGGCTTCACTCTTCCCCACAGAAAACCTAAATCAAATATCTAGTGTGAAGATTATAAACAGCAGTATCCCAGAACTTAAATTTGGGGCTGAAATGACCCCTAGGACCACAGAGCAGTGAGAAACTCTGAGAAGACAGTAAGAGAAATGGACTTTTCTACTCATCATGCCCCTCCCCAAATCTGCCAGATGCCATTCATGGACATTTTTTTTTCCTTGACCCATGGTTTCCACACTAGAAAAAGTGAGATCAAGGGAAACAGCCAGTTTTCCCACCTTCCTGGGTTCCCTTGCAGGAAAACAACTCCTGCTTTAACCCTTGGAAGCATTGCAAGTGCCTATAGGGAGAAAAACTCCTGAGGCCAGCTAGTGACAAAGAAGAGAGGCAGGACTAGAGACCCTAGTTTATGGAACTTTGCTCTTTATCTCAGCCAAAGACGTCAAAGCAGATTGGCTGTTTAGCAACACCAAGATGTAGGATATATCCTCCATTGGTCTTCTGTGCATGAACTCCTAGCCAGTCTTCCCACACAATCAGTGTCCCTATGGGACTCTCTAACCCCTAATCTGGGATGAGGAGAGCTCTGAATGATTTCAAGAACTGAAGCAAACTGGGGCTTAATGTACCATTCAATGCCAAAAAGGAGGCAGCAATCTAGGATTAAGGATGCTTACATGCAACTGCATAGAATCTCTAGGCAAACATACTCTAGAAAGTTGAAAAAAAGCCAGATAGCAAAGACTAGAATAAATACAACAGATGTATGTTTATAAGAAACAACAACAGGCCGGGCACGGTGGCTCAAGCCTGTAATCCCAGCACTTTGGGAGGCCAAGGCGGGTGGATCATGAGATCAAGAGATCGAGACCATCCTGGTCAACATGGTGAAAGCCCGTCTCTACTAAAAATACAAAACATTAGCTGGGCATGGTGGTGCGTGCCTGTAATCCCAGCTACTCAGGAGGCTGAGGCAGGAGAATTGCCTGAACCCAGGAGGCGGAGGTTGCAGTGAGCCGAGATCGCGCCATTGCACTCCAGCCTGGGTAACATGAGTGAAACTCCGTCTCAGAAAAAAAAAAAAAGAAGAAAGAAACAACAACAAACAAGGAATCATGACCTCCCCAGATGGACAAAGCAAGAAACCAGGAACCAGTTCTAATGACATGGTAATATGTAAGCTCTCAGATCAAGAAATCAAAATAGTTGTTCTAAGGAAACTCAGCAAACTTCAAGATAACACAGCAAAGCAATGTATAAATTTTCTAGATAAATTTAACAAAGGGATTAAAATAATTTAAAAAGTCAAACAGAAATCTGGAACAGAGAAATACATTTGTTAAACTGAAAAATGCATTAGAAGCTCTCAAAAGCAGAATGGATCATGTGAAAAAAGAATTAGTGAGCTAAAAGACAGGCTATTAGAAAATGCACATTCAGAAAAGAAAGAAGAATAAAAACGAATAAAGAATGCCTGCAATATAAGAAAATAACCTCAAAAGAGAAAATATAAGTCATTGGTGTTCAAGGAAGAGTTGAGAAAGAGCAAGGGGTAGAATGACTATGCAAGAAAATAATAACCAAAAACTTTTCAAACCTAGAGAAAGATATTGATATTCAGGTACAGGAAGGTCAGATATCACCAAACAGATTCAACCCAAGTAAGACTACCTTAAGGCATATAATAAACTCTCAAAAGTCAGGAACACAGACGAGATTCTAAAAGCAGCAAGAATAAAGAAGCAAATAACAAATGAAGGAGCTCGTATTTATCTAGCAGCAGACTTCTCAGTGGAAACCAACTTGCCAGGAGGAAGTTGGATGACATTCAGTCAGAAGAAAAATTTGTCAAACAAGAATACTGTACCTAACAAAGCCTTCCTTCTAACATAAAGGAGAGATAAAGTCTTCCCAGACAACCAAAAACTGAGGAAATCATCATTGCTAGACCTGTTTTACAATGAATGCTGAAGAGAGTTCTTCAGTCTGAAAGGAAAGGATACTAGCATGCAAAAAGAAAACATTTGAAAGCATAAACTCACTGGTAAAGTAAATACACACATAAATTCAGAATAGTACTTAATTATGGCATACAATCCTTCATATCTCTAGTATGAACTAAAAGACAAATCTATCAAAAATAATAACTGCAGAAATCTGTTGAAAGATAGGAAGTATAAAAAGCTGTAAATTGAGACAACAAAGTCAAATTGTATGAGTGGGGGAATTAAGTTAAAGTGTAGAGACTTTTAGGTTTTCCTTCATTTATTTTTTAAATTTTCTTTGTGATAGAAGTTAATTTGTCATCTATTTAAAATAACTTCTCATGTCTATAAGACAATTTTGGGTATGCCTTATGGTAACAACAAAGCAAAATTCTATAATAGACTGGGTGCAGTGCCATGAACATGTAGTCCCAGCTACTCAGGAGGCTAAGGTGGAAGGTTCTCTGGAGCCCAGGAGCTTGAGTCCAGCCTGGGCAACACAGTGAGACCTCATCTCTAAAAAGTGAAAACAAACAGGCAAACTCCCCTCCAAAAACCTAAAATAGATCTACTAAAGATAAAAACCAACACATTAAAACATGCTACCATTAAATGAGAAATTTGTTTAACCACTGAGGAAGACAGTAAAAAAAGGAATAAAGGAAGAAAAGACAAAATAACCAGAGCGATGTCCCGATATCCATCCGCAATACCATGGTGGGTCATTCCCTGTCTGTTCAGCAGAGAGTCAATACGCCACCCCAGGCTGAGATGGAGCAGGAGGCTGGGGAGCTGAGCCAGTGGCAGGCAGCACACCAGGCTGCCCAGGATAAGGAGAACTCAGCACTCATCTTGAATATGATCCCATCTTCTGAAGCTCTGGAGTGCACACCTCTTGGAACCATGGCCTACCAAACATTTAGCACTTCCCTCACAGCACAGAGATGCTGAGGCTCCCCTTGGTATCTGCTGAGGCACCGGGGCAGATTGTGGATGAAGTGGGGCCACAGTTCAGTATGACACTGGCTGAGCATGGTGTGAGCTACTGCCCCCAAGCGACTCTCACTCCTTCCTGGATGATTTACTGTCAGGGAGTATCTCCGCCTCAGCAAGAGATCATAATTTTCAGTGGGCCCCAGATAATGCCTGTAGGAGAGCCCAATACTGCAGGGGTGGCTGTGGCCTTCAGGCTGCCAGTCTCAGCTTCCACTGGAATCCTAGTGATGTCCCACATTGGGTATATTATGCAATGCCTTAACTTGGCCTCTCAACAGTACTTTCTGATGAAACGTTGTTGGCCCCAACCATACCTTCCACTGAGGCCCAGGCTGTGCTCGCCTCTGTGGCTCTGATGTTGCCCCCCACATGATGCCCATGATCTTGGGATGCCCCATCAGAGTCCCAGTCATTGCTGGTTTTGGATCTCAGGACTCTTGTGAGTCAGCCAGACTCCCAAGCAGGCCCATTCCTACTGGAGAAGTACAGACCTGCGTCACAGATAGCAGAGCAGAACGCCAGGCCTCAGGAAAAGACTGGTAGAGGGGGCTCCTCAGAGGCAAGGCCTTACTGCTGCAACTATGAGAACTGCGGAAAAGCTTATACAGGTACCAAGTGCTTCCACCTCATGAGCCACCAATGCAAGCACACAGGTGAGACGCCCTATTTGTTCAACTGGGAAAGGTGTTTATGGTCTTTCTTCCAATCTGGTGAGCTTACACGACATAGGCGGATACACACCAGATATCAACCATATAAATGTGATCAGTGCAGCTGAGAGTTCATGAGGTCTGACCATCTCAAACAACACCAGAGGACTCATCGGTCAGGACCCTCAGATCCATTGGCCAACAATGGAGACCAGGACAGTCTTCTTGCTCCTGGTCCTTAGGTGAATGAAGAAGGAAGAGGATTTCAGGCAGAGAACCTGGCAACTGCTCAGAGGAACGGCAGTCTTCAAGTTCTGTATTCATTCAGCAAATGTTTTTTGAGCCTACAATATTGAGAGCACCAAGGCTATCAGGACCCATGGTGAGGAGCATGGAAATAACTAAAGGATGTGTCAAGGAAGAAAAACTTCTCAAGGAGGTGCCTCAGTCAGACCTGAAGGACTCATGGGGGCTAGCTGCACCTTCCATTTCTTAAACATACACCACTGGACATGTCTCTATCTTCTGGCAATGATGGCATGGACAGTAAGGACTCAAGGTGCATGAAGGCACCCTGCCTCTGCAAAGCAGAAAGATCATAGACAAAATTCCTGAATGTTCCCAGTGATGCCAAGAAGCTGGTCCTCTACAGGCCCAAGCTTATCTGGGCCTCTGGGGAAGCCCCACAGCCTTGGCTGTGTCTGCCCCTGCTCTCCCACCCCACCCTGACCCTGTCCTCCTTCACTGCTTTGGTCTGTGTTACTAGTGGCCCCAGTATACCTGGGATGGACATCCAGGTGCCCTCCATCCAAGCTCCTGAGGGAAGTGGACATGTTTAAAAGAATAGGGGCAGAAGGGGCTCATTTATGACCCATTCACTAGCCCCAGGAATTGAGGTCTTGGGTACTCAAAGTCTCGTTTGTTTCTACCAGGGAACCAGATCCCTTTCATGGAGCAGGCCATCTTGGGTTCACTGGGCCAGGGTTAGTCTCTGTTTCCCAGCCCACCTGGCTCACACACAGCCTCGTGGGTAGGGTCAGCAGACCAGATTGCTTGTTGGAATATAAGACGTGCTGGTTGGTGATCTAGCACTTTCACCAAGACATGAACGTAGAGAGAACCAGAGTGATAAAGGATGTATGATGTGCACTATAAGGGTGGACAAAACAGGCCCCTGCTCTTGTGGAGGTCACAATCTAGTGGAGGAGAGATGTTACTACAAATGCACAAAGTGAGCCAAACATGGTGGCTCACACCTGTAATCCCAGCACCTTGGGAGGCCAAAGAGGGCAGGTCACTTGAGGTTAGAAGTTAGAACAGTATGGCCTACATGATGAAACCTTATCTCTAAAAAAATACAAAATTAGCTGGGTCTGGTGGTGGATACCTGTAGTCCCAGCTTGGGAGGCTGAGGTGGGATAATTACTTGAACCTGGGAGGCAGAGGTTGCAGTGAACCAAGATGGCACCACTGCACTCCAGCCTGGGTGACAGAGGCGCCATCTCAAAAAAAGAGATGCACAAAGTGCTGGGAGTACAAATAGTGGGGACCTGTAATTGGGCAAGGGGGTTAGAAAGGCATTTCTTAGAAGTTGCGGTTTGAAGTTAGATTTAAAGAAAACTAGGAGTTCACAGCAGATAAAAGGAGGTGAAGTGGTGATTGGAGGAGAAGTAAGTTTGTCCTTTACCCAGAGATGACCATGTGCTAGGCAGTGGCTAAACCTTTTCTAGTATCACCCAAGGTAGGACAGTGGGTGGTTAAGACATGTGGACTCAACCAGGCATGGTGGCTCATGACTGTAATCCTAACACTTTGAAAGGCTGAGGCAGGCAGATCACCTGAGGCAGGAATTCAAGACTAGCCTGGCCAACGTGGTGAAACCCCATCTCTACTAAAAATACAAAAATTAGCTGGCATGATGGTGAGTGCCTGTAATCTCAGCTATTCGGGAGGCTGAGATGGGAAAATTGCTTGAACCTGGGAGGCAGAGGTTGCATTGAGCTGAGATCATGCCACTGAACTCCAGGCTGGGTTACTGAGTGAGATTCCATCTCAAAACAAACGAAGACGTGGACTCTCTAGTAGCTTTTGAATCCTGCCTCTACCATTTCCTGGCTATGAGGTGTCTTGGGAAATTTACTTGTCCCTCTTGCTTTTGATAGTAAAGGAGATGGATGGTGAGGTAGATGAAAGATGGAGAGATACAATTGAAAGTGTTTTCTTTGGCTGCAATGTGTTGATTGGA